AGTAACAGAAATCAGAATAAATCAGACTCAAGAGTCTAACCACATGAGAAACTAGATGACAATGGATCAATGCCTTTAAAATTCCGAGGTAGAGGCCCGGTGCGGTGGCTCAAGGCTGTAATCCCAGCACTTTGGGAGGCAGAGGTAAGAGGATTGCCTGAGCCCGCAGGTTCGAGACCAACCTGGACAACATGGTGAAACGTCATCTCTACAATAAATAAAAAATAAATTTGCCGGCATGATAGCGCACACCTGTAGTTCCAGCTACTTGGAAAGCTGAGGTGGAAGGATCACCGGAGACCAGCAGGTAGATGCTGGAGTGGCTGTGAGCATTCCACTGCACTCCAGCCTGGGCGATGGAATGAGACTCCAACTCAAAAAAAAAAAAAAAATTCAGTGGGGGAGCAGGGTGCAGTGGCTCACACCTGTAATCTCAGCATTTTGGGAGGCAGAAGCAAAAGGACTGCCTGAGCCCAGGGGTTCCAGGCCAGCCTGCCAGTGGGCAAGACCTTGTCTTCTCAATAAATAAAAATATTTGCTGGGTGTGGTGGCACACACCTGTAGTCCCAGCTACTCAGGAGGCTGAGGTAAAAAGATCATCTGAGTCCAGGAAGTCGAGGCTGCAGTAGCCATGAGCATGCCACTGCATTGCAGCCTGGGTAACTGAGTGCGACTCTGACTCAAAAAACAAAATAAAATAAAATTCTGAGGGAAAATTATTTCTAACCTAGAAATCTGTTAATCAAGAGTGAGAGAAAATAAAACCATTTTAAGACAATCAAGGACTCAAAAATTTACCTTCCTAGGGAATTTGTAGAGAACATAATCTTCCAAAATGAGAGAATAAACCAAGAATGGAAAAACGTAAGATCCATGTAACAGGGACTTGGCACAGCAGAGACAAGAAGAGAATCTCCAGAATATGGTTAGGAAAAATCCTAGAACACGAGCTGTGCAGCAAGGTCAAGAACATAGCTTGCAGCAGAGGAGAACAGGTCTCAGGTGGATGTTGCCAAGAAAAAAAAAGGACACTAGGAGATGGCCTGAACTAGATCAAGGGATGGATATATTATAGTTCTGATGGAGAGTTTGTGAATTAACAATAGATGCACAGATACTTAAGTGAATAAAAAAAGATAATTTTGACTCCAGTAAAAAGAGTTATTTAATAAAGTAAACATAATCTTAGTAATGTGTATACCTCAACTATTAAGATATTCCATAGTTACATTAATGTAAACTCTGACTAATAATTCAACCAATGAGGAAATCCTGCAGCCTAGCCAAGAGTCCACTGATGGTCACAAAAGAGAGAGAAAGCATCAACTTATGGAGGAAGAATAGGGCGGGAACTCTGACAGGTAAGATGTCCAGCCTCAGCATTCACTGTCTCCTGGCTGCACCCTTCAGCTTCCTGATGAAACATCCCACGCTGGTATCTCCAGTTCTGTGCCTTCCTGAAGTCTTGTAATTGCTCAATGGACAATCGCTCACAGGACAACTCTTTTTTTTTGTTTGTTTGAGTCTGGGTCTCTGTCACCCAGGCTGGAATGCAGTGGCACTATCATGGCTCACCGCAGCCTCAACCTCCTGGGGTCAGGCAATCCTCCCACCTCAGCCTGCCGAGTAGCTGGGACCACAGGCATGCAACACTGCATGTGGCTATTTTTTATTTTTTAGAGATGATGTCTCGCTACATTGCCTAGACTGGTCTTGAACTCCTTGGCTCAAGCAAGCTCTTGCCTTAGCTTCCAAAATTGCTGGAATTACAGGCATGAGCCACTGCACCCAGCCAGTCTTCTTGAGTATTGCCACTCTAAGTATAATCAAACAGTCTCTCTCTCTTTCTCTCGCCCCCTCCGCTCCCCCAGGTACCAGCAGAAAAGGGCAGGATGGGAAGAAGTCAGCAAAAAGAAAGCTTATTCTCAACTGAGAACCTTCTAGGCTTGGGATGGGTGGAACAAGGCTCTACCTCAATGGGTTACTGTAAAAAGCAAAATGCCTAGAATAGTGCTTTGACACCCAATAAATGGCAGCCAGAGACCAAAATAAACAATTTAGACAGCAGAAGAAAACAGCAGAATTAATCTCTGTCTCTCTGTCTCTCTGTCTGTCTGTCTCTCTCTCTCTCTCTCTCTCTCTCTCTCTCTCTC